GTATCTTTGTAGTTTATCAGCAAAATATCAATAAGGCACCTCCTTGGACTGAACAGCCATCCTCCTCCCCCCTCCCCCTTGCTAACAGGGAGGAGGAGTCAACAATTGCAATCACAACCTGAATGGCTGCCAATTAAAAATCTGTCCCTATGTTTTGTTGCAAATATGCTACAAATTATGCCCACAAAGCATTGTTAGTTTCTCTTCTCCTCGGCAGAGCAATCTGTATTGATCACCACAATCTCACTTCAAATGCTGAGCCTGCCCTGAATCTAAATCAGTAGGACATGAATTGGTCCATGACTTTCTCCCTGGTCTTGCATGAAAAGCTTTATTGAAGTTCTGAGTGAACTGCATCTACTGAATTAAACACCTGAAGTAGCTGAATTATCTCCCCACAGAATTCCAGTGGATTTGTAAGCATGACTTGTCAACTCTAAAGTCATGTTGATTATACTCTATGATAACAATACTCTTTAAATATTTATTGCATGGAATGACTACAAGCATTAAGTTCAGTTTGAACATAAAGCCTGCAATTAGGTGATAATATGGTTTATATTCTAAATATAAGCCAACTAATAAGTGTACAAGAACTATCTCTTTGCAATAATTACCTTCATCCATAATTAAGATTAAACTTCACTTTCTTGGAGTGGCACAGTGGCTCAGTGGTTAGCACATCTATCTCACAGTGCCAGGGACCCGTATTCAATTCCACCCTTGGGTGACTGTCCATGTGGCATTTGTATGTTCTCCCTGTGTCCAGCTGGGTGCTCCAGTTACCTCCCACAGTCCAAAGACCTCCAGGTTGGGGAGCATTGGCCATGCTAAATTGCCCATAGTGTCCAGGGATGTGCAAGTTAGATAGATTAGCCACGGGATAGGATAGGGAAGTAAGTCTGGGTGGGATGCCATGCAAGGGATGATGTGGACTTGATGGGATGAATGGTCTGTTTCCACACTGTAGAGATTCTGAGAGGATGAAGAGTCATACTGGACTCAAAACATTAGTTTTGCATATTTCTCTTCACAGATTCTGCCAGACCTTTCGAGTGTTTTTTTAAAAAAATTATAATAGAACAATGAATCTGATGATACTGATGGAAGATCGACAGTTTGAAATTTAAGGCCAGATTTTCTCAGCCCTGTGGTAGAAAATTGACCAGATGTCGGTGGCCATGTCATATAAGTACAGTATCAACATGGTGAAATTTCCCAGTCGCAGATTGTGTGTCAGACAGTTTGAACCACCAATAGAGACAGGGAGACAATTTACGCACTTAAGGTGCCAATCAGGGCCATTTTTTGGGGGTTGTTATCATCTCATTGAGGGCCATTGAGAGTGAGCTGCAAGGACTTTTGAGGGACAGGTATAAAGGTCTTTACTGTTGGAATACAGAAGAATGAAAGACAATATATTGAAACATTCCAAATTCTTAAAGGAAATAAAAAACTGAAAGAACTGTGGATGCTGGAAATCAGAAACACAAACAGAAATTGCTGGAGAAGCTCAGCAGGTCTAGTAGCATCTGTGGAAAGAAATCAGAGCCAACGTTTCTGGTCCAGATGATTCTTAAAGGACTTGAGAGGGTAGAAAAGCCATTTTCCCTTGTTTTACGGTTTAGGTCCAAACGTATTATCCTAGAATAAGGGGTTGCACGTTAAAGATGGAGGTGAGGTGGAATTTCTTCATTCAGAGGGTCGTGAATTGGTGGAATTCTTTACCACAGAGGGCTGTTAATGGTACATTAAGTATATTGAAGGCTGAGACAGACAGATTTTTAATCAGTGAGGGAATCAAGGGTGATGGGGAAAAAGCAGGAAAATGGAGTTGATGATTGTTAGATCAGTCATGATTTCATTGAATACAGGAGCAGACTCAATTGGCTGAATGGCCTAGTTCTGCTCCTATGTCATATTCTCTTAACGGAAGCCTAAACACTTCCTTCAGATGGCTTTACCCTTTATCCCACTGGGTTTCACACATTTAGTCTCACAATCATTTTTTTTTAATTTTTATATGCATTACCAAGGGACCCTTCAATTCCAGGCACTCATGAGTTCGGCTTTCTGTGGCAACACCCACCTCTCCTCATGGGGCTGCCAAGATTGCGAGCTGTCAGCTCTCACATTCACAGGCTGCATCTGAGAATATTAAGCCCCAACGACACCTTGGTAATATAAATCTGTTATTTATTCCATGGCAGGGATCATTAGCTCAATGCTCTGGATTCAAGATAAAAACTGAAAGAACTGCAGATGCTGTAAATCAGGAACAAAAACAAAAATAAAGTTGCTGGCAAAGCCCAGCAGGTCTGACAGCATTTGTGAAGGAAAAAAACAGAGTTAACGTTTCGGGTCCAGTGACCCTTCCCGTTTTTGCTCCGGATTCAAGACTGCTCCATACTCAGGGAATGCTGCATGGTTAGAGCTGCTTATTTTGGACAAGGCATTAAACTAAGGTCTCATCAATGTGCTTTGTTAAATGTAAAAGATGGTGCTGTTTTTAAAGAGCTGGGGTTTATCCTTGGTGTCCTGGCCAACATTTATCCCTCAATCATCATGACAAAAAAATGAATTTTTCAGAAGCCAAGGGGGGAACAAAAGATTAACTTTTTCTTAACTTTATCTCAGTTATTTCTTTTTACAATTCATGTCATTAAAATGGTGCCGGATTATGGTGACTTATACATTTTCCACTGTATTTTCATAAATAAAAGTAACAATAGAATCATAGAGTCATAGAGTTGTACAGAACGAAAACAGACCCTTTAGTCCAACTTGTCCATGCCAACCAGGTATCCTAAATTAATCTAGTCTCATTTGTCAGCATTTTGCCCATATCCCTCTAAACCCTTCCCATTCATGTACCCATCAGATGCCTTTTAAATGTTGTAATTGTACCAGCCTCCACGACCTCCTCTGGCAGCTCATTCCATACACGCACCATCCTCTGTGTGTAAAAGTTGTCCCTTTGGATCTTTTTAAATCTTTCCCCTTTCACCTTAAACCTATGGTCTCTAGTTTTGGACTTCCCTTCCCTGGGGAAAAGACCTTGACTATTTACCTTATCTATGCCCCTCATGATTTTATAAACCTCTATAAGGACACCCCTCAGCCTCCGACGCTCCTGGGAAAGTAGCTCCAGACTGTTCAGCCTCTCACAATAGCTCAAACTCTCCAACTCTGGAAACATCCTTGTATATCATCATTCTATTCTATTCTATTCTGGAAGTCTGTAGTGCACAAATGGGCTTGTACATTCCCTGCACTACAGTACTGATTATGCTTCAAAAAATGCTTTGACTGCAAAGTGCTTTGAGGCGACCATTGGTCGTGATTTTATTTTCTTGTGTTTACATTTCCCAATGAGTGTTTTGACATGCAAACAAAAAGAGTGGAAATTAGTGATTTCTTGGGTCAGGTCTGACTCACATAGCTCACAAGACTGTGAAGCATCTTGGTGCATTCTTAAAATGTTAAAATCCTTTTTAAATACGGGTTGCTGTTATTGCTGTGAATAAGTTTACAATGCCTTTGATATGGGCAGTTAAATGTTTATTTCATTTGGTCAAGGATGCAAGTCCTACTGTCAATCAAAGTAAGGGTCAGAAATGTAATTCGTGTTGATTTACCACAGGACATGTGACTTGAAAACATACCATGACAGAGAAAGAGCAACAAACTATTTGAAATGATTTGATAGAGGATTGGGACATGAGAACATGAGAAAGTCTTCAACACCATAGCAATAGGGGAGGTGATGCCTAATTGAATTATCAGTAGTTTATTAATCCAGAGACCTATGTAATGTTCTGGGGACCCAGGATCGAATCCCATCACAGTAGAGGATGGAATTTGAATTCATTAAATGTCTGGAATTAAGAGTCTAATGATGAACATGAATCTCTTGTCGATTGTCAGAAGAAAACATCATTGGATAATGTCCTTTAAGAAAGGAAAGTGCTATTCTAACCTGGTCTGGCCTACATGTGACTCCAGACCTAAGCAATGTCCTCTAAGCAAATATTGATGGGCAATAAATACTGGCCTAGCAGGTATACCCTCATCCAGTAAATGAATAGAAGAAAATTAAACCCACATTATTGTCCTGCTTTAGTCATTTTGAGATAACAAGCTCTGCCTGCCATTTTACACCCAGTATCAAATAGGAAAATCAAACAAAGGAGACCAGATGCAGAAGATTGAATTGCGAGAGTTGTAGTAAGTGACCACTGTTTATAGAGATACCATTCTCTAGAGGCTTCATGATAAATACCTGCTGGTTAGGTGAAAATATTCTTATCAATGGAAATACAATACACGCAATACTGTGGTATAACATGAAAACTAATCCATATTAAGTTAAAAAGACTGAAAATATACATAAACAAAAGTTATGTTTTAAAACTTAAAAATAAGTATCAATGTGCAAGTTGCCTAAAGGGCAAAACAATCTGTTGAACCAGAAAACGTGTTATAATATTTTATTGGACTCCGTAAAACAGAGACCTTTCCAAATAAAAACTGAAAGAACTGAGGTTGCTGTAAATCAGGAACAAAAACAGAAGTTGCTGGAAAAGCTCAGCAGGTCTGGCAGCATCTGTGAACAAAAAATCAGATTTAACGTTTTGGGTCTGGTGACCCTTCTTCAGAACTGAGGAAGGGTCACTGGACCCGAAACGTTAACTCTGATATTATCTTCAAAGATGCTGCCAGACCTGCTGAGCTTTTCCAGCAACTTCTTTTTTGTTGTGGTAGAGACCTTTCTGATCTGGCCAGCTCATCACTAGAATTTATGGAGCACTTACACACTAAGTCAATAGCAGGACGGCTTGGAAAATCTTAAGTAAAGCCATCTAGAATTCAATTTTCTAGCATTTAACTTTTAAAAAGAAATGGATCACATGTAAAGTTTTAATACCGTCTTGTTCTCATCAACATATGGCAAGAATTATTCCTAACCACTTATTAGTGCATCAGTGTTTTGGACTTACCATTTCTCGACAGAGTCACAGCCAAATATTCCTCATCAAGAGAACTAATATAAAGGAGAATACAAGGTGCATGTGTAGTTCGAAAACTGAATGCAATATTCTCCCTCAAGAGAGTGATATCAGAGGATATGGAAGATGAAGAATCACTTAAATTCTTGACAGTGGTGGAAGATTCCTCCAATGTGTATATCAGTGATGTTCCAGGCTCGAAGAGTGCAGAAATTTCTGAAAATAAACAGAAAAAACTCACAAAGAGTCATACTTGTCCAGTCACATATATCTAAACACGTGACAATAAAATTTAAATCTAAAATCTAATCTAAATCTATGTCAATACAACTCAGGCTGACAACTTATCAAATATATGAACAAGTAAAGAAACAAATTGCGTTGGTACAATTATAATTTAGACGAGTACAGATCAGTCAAAAAATGGTGCAATTTTGTGTTCAATTGGTGCTCTTTGGACTGAAACCATAATACATGCACTGACCAAATAAATATTTTATGTTACTTTAGTTTGCATGCATTGTAAGGTGTTTCAAATTAAACATTTTGGAACAGACATTTATTTGTTATCAGGGAACTGATCTATAACAGCATACACCATGAGTGCACTGGATTCAAAAGTTGAAGGCGGCTTTCTCAAAGTGACAGATGGAAAGAATGGTGGATGATATTAACCATGTGCACAGGTAAAACATGAAATAAACATGAGACCGTGACAACCATTGAGTAGATGCTAACTTACTGCAGGCTCTCCAGCTTGAAATGTTTGGAATAATACTTCTGGAAATTGAAATGTTCTGGGTTGTAGCATGACATCAGAATGCCTGAGCAAAAGTATGTGAACTGAATAAAAATATGAACCCGAGACATAAAACAGTGCTCGATTAAACTTTTAATTTATTCATCCACTGATCAGTTGCCAAATTCATTGTAAATGAAAGCTGAATAAAATATTTTGTTTACCCTATGAGTACTTTGGTTTTTCTCTCTATTTTCTATTTTCAGTGCAACTTGGAGCTTGCTGTCAGCCTTCAAGCATGTCCCAGAAGTATTCGATCAGAAGTACTATTCAAACTGTTGCTTGATATGGAAAAAAAATCTTGCAAAAAGAGACAAGCAGACAAAGCTTTTGTCTTGCATTTTCAGGCTAGATTCAAGAATGCCAGGTTTTAAAGGAAGTTACTCATCTACTGCACAATAAAAAGATACTGATTGGTCAGCAAGTCATCTCTGATTGGTCAATGTAATGCCATGGAAAATGCACCAGTATGCTTCTATTTATTTCAAAATAGGCGGAATTCGGCTGCTCTAGTGACTATGTATGTATATAAAGATTTTTTTATGAATAAAGTATATTCTTGAAATTATAAAAAACAGCTAGCATCACTGAGGTTACGTCTAAACAGAAACAGAAACAACATCCTCTCAGGCTGGGGTTAAAATTGATTCAGAGATAGTAGGAATTGCCGATGCTGGAGAATCTGAGATAACAAGGTGTAGAGCTGGATGAACACAGCAGGCCAAGCAGCATCAGAGGAGCAGGAAAGCTGACGTTTTGG